GATTGATGACGAGTGTGCTCTTAAACCGTTCTGTTATGTTTAATTTGCTGTTTCAGAACTACGGAGTGGAGTCGGATAACTTGAAGAATCTGGTAGTGAGGATGAGAGCTGCCACCAACAGTCTGCACATGGCCACGGCCGACCGCAGGAAAAGCCCCGCCTACGATGGAAGCGCCTCGCGAAAGCCACCTAACGATTTTCTTACCTCCGTGGTGGAGCTGATCGGCGCTGCAAAGAGCCTCCTGGCGTGGCTCGACAGGTAACACTTTGTCCCGGCCTTAATGAGAGGCGGAAGTGTCACGTTCGATCACACTAGTTTGAAATAAAGATGCAATTTGATATTTAAAAAACGAGTCTGTTTATAATCAGACATAAGAGTTCGTTTTCAGCATTATAAAGACCTTTTGCATGTCAGCTTAACGTTATATCCAGCTGGCAGAGCGTCCTGTGCGCTCCTGTTGACCCGCTCCAAAACACATTACGCCATAAAAGCCGAGCATATTAAGCAGGTTGCCAGGATTAAGTGTTAGCTGGCTCAAATTAAGCTTCTCCTTTTTATGGCAGGCTCGGCTAAAGTGGTGCATTGATGTCATTGTTTAAATGGTTGTTGTGATGCTTAAGTGCAAGCAGAGCCAAGGAAAATTTATGGTTCAGGTTTGTAGGTCATTAGGCTTCTCTGACTCGATCTAATAATAATGTATTTGTACAGCACATTAGCTCAGCAAACAAGTCTTTGCACATTTGGTATTAGATCTGTTTCTGGTCAGACTGCAGTTTAATGATTTTGCATCAAGTTTCTTGTTTATTAACAATAAAAATATATAGAGACTTATTTCTGGCACACAAATAAAGTAATCCTTATTTTTTTGTGCTACTGGCCAATAAGTGCTATTTGTTTCAAGATTTGTAATATAGTCCGACATAGTCCAAGGACTACAAACTGGTTTTTGAAGCACATGTTTCAGATAGAGTGAGGTGAGAAAAAGAAAAGTATAAGCTGGCACCAGGTTGCACACTTGAGAAACATGTAACAAGCCTGTCGGTGGCCAAACAGCAATCTGAGCGAGTACAATAAACTTGAGCTCATCTCTGCAGTCCATCGCTTGTTTCCAATGTTCTCTCTTTCCTCCTTTGTCTGCTCGCAGGACGCCTCTTACAGGGATCAGTGACTTCACAGCCACCAAGAACAAGATCATTCAGCTGTGCCTGGAGCTCACCACCACAGTTCAGCAGGTCTGCATGCTAGTTAGCTCAGCAGAACATGTGGAAACACACACACACAATAGCTTTTTTCCACTGAGCACATACCGGCTCAGGGGCACAGATGTGTAGGAGAAGAGTGTTATGGGAAATGTGGTCTGGCAGCCATGACATGAGCCTGAAGCCAGCAGTCTGAGCACATTATTGCAAATGCTGCTGTTTTTCTCGGGATCTTTTCCTCCACGCGCTGGCTAATGAGGAGACCCCCTCGGT